AACCGAAGAGAATGCACTGCACGATAACTATCTTTCCACATCAATAGCTTTGTTTCATCATAAATCTCAGCATATTACGGATAAGTTGGCTATTCTCCAGCCATTTGCTCCAGTCCAAAAAGTTGTTGAGTTTGCATACCTCTTGACTAAATTTTCAAACTAGCTCTACATGTATTTTATCGTTTTCATCATTAAAAAACATACTATTTGGCATGATAAGGTATGCACATTTATAGGCATTTAGGTTTAACGACTCGCAATTTTCAAGTTTGGTCCGAAGTACACTTGATCTTTCATAGAATGAAAAGCGTTCTTGTAAATCTTTTGCTGTGTGAATTGTGAATCAATCACACACAAGGTATAGGACAGAATTCCAGCGTAGGCAAAATCAATCAATGAGCACATCAGGGTGCTAATAATTATGCAAATGAAAAAAAAAAACAACTTTGACATAATGTCATTGCAGGTATTCGCCTCCTTAGCTCCATATACATGTACACTGTATAAATGTAGGTTTACGTATAGGCTTACCGTGCCACCGTGAAGCAATGACACCCAAAGAATAAAAATGTGAACTGGAACGACCAATAGATTTTGAGAAGAAAAAACATAATAGAAAACCAGAAACTGACCATTCACTTTCATGCCTTGTGAGTTAAAAGTGATATATGTATATACAATGCATACTTATACAGTACAGACATCAGCTTTAAATCATGATTGAAATCAAACTAATGTTGGAATTATAATTAATAAATAAATCAAAGGAAGGGCGTTAATTATGCTTGCTAGTATCCATGTGCCGAAGTAGTGATGCGAAAAAAGAACAAAGTTCCCTTTTCTATAACTTTAACATAACAGAAAGCAAACTTTCTAAAAAGTGCTGAGTCATCATTTTTGGAAATGGAATAAACTCCCCGATTTTGTTGGGCAAAGGTTTTTGATGGAACTTTTTCTAAAATGTGAGGTCTTATAATTGTCAGACATCCTTTTATACTATTCAGAATTTAAAATTTCAGATTTTGTCGACATTTACTACAACTTCATACCGTATTATACACCTTGTGACCTTTGACCTCGGCCTGACCTTGACCCAGGCCGCCAAAATCGGGCACCCCCCTCTAGAATGACTTCTTGGGACCAATACAGTATGTGTACCGAATTTGGCGCTTTAATCCGGCAGGTCACGATTTTTTCCTTAAGCCACTGGACTAATCTATGTTTCTGCAAGAAAGCAGAAAAGGCACGCGTAGTAATACTCAACCTATACGGCTAGCGCGCACGCCCTCCGTAGGATTCGGCGGACAGTTGAGCACGTTACAGTGCACATTACAAGAGCACGATACATGCTGATGTGATGTGTCCGCTGAGCTTACTTTTCCTCGGGCTGTATTACCAAGCCTATTAATAACGCAGTGAGGGACATCCAAGAATGTGCTATGTAACACTTCCCGCATGGTCTTGCAAACATTCTGATTTGTGTTTCCAGCGTCATGCATGTGTGTGTGTGTGTTCATGGAGGAATAATTAAGAATGAACTCCTTGGTCCGTGTTCCTTGCTCGTTCGAGTTCCATTTTGTCTTTATTTTTGCAACCATGCGGCTTAAAATAAATGTGCATTTCAAGTCTTTTTTGCCCACCATGCAAATCGCTCGCTCCCGAAGTCGTCATCAAAACGGGAGTTGTGCTTTGACGTAAGCACCATTCCCGAATTTAGCAAGGCGCCGCGCAAAAACAGTTAATAACTTTACTAATGTACAGTCTGGGTGCTAGACTTGTGACGTTGCACGGGGACACATTTACCAGGGGGGACACATTTAACGTCGTGCAGGGGGACAGATTTACCTAGAGGGGGACAGGTTTACCTAGGTAAAAGTGTCCCCCCCCCCGGACAGATTTACCGGGTTACGACCCGGTAAATTGTCCGGGGGGACACATTTTCCAGGGGGGACAGAATTACCTGCCACACCGGCTGTGGTGCGTAAGCAATATCCTCGCTAGGGCCATGCATTATGCAGTGTATTAAAAATACAGCGCGAACAGCGACCTCACGCGGCCCCATTTCTATGCACAATAGTTGGACCCAATATCGCGCCTAATTGGTTCGATCGTCGGCAAAAGCTTATGTTTTTCTTTATTTTGCGCTGGATTTCTAGCGCACGACCTCGTATGCGTATACAGATAAGTGTAGGCGGGGCTAATATGTGGAGTGTCCAATCACACCTTGGTAAATCCGGACGTCATCAAATTGTTTGCAGCTAGCGACAGGTATTCGCCTTTTGCGGACGTGACAGGAACCACAGTTTTTTGTGCATTGGTGCCGTGTGCAGAGACACATAACGTGTACGTGTACGTGTATGGATTACGTACGGTGCCACGTTTTACAAAGCAAGTTTCCACGCAACGATCGACCAATAAGAAAACGACATTTAAGGTCAGCTAAGGTTATTAACATAATGAGCACCACCCCCAAAACCTCACATGGACGATTGAACCAATTAGGCGCTATATTGGGTCCAACTGATTTGCATAAAAATAGTGGCCGCGCGAGTTCGCTGTTCGCGCTGTATTTTTAATGCACTGAACTGCAGGCATAGCGCATAGACATTATGACTGCATAAAAAAACAACTAGCGCCTTGACCAAGGCTAGTCGTGAGAACAATGTAAGGAGGGCCCAGCAGGCAATGACTCGATCCCAAGGACGCATTAACATTCCTAAGTGCATTGCTTAATTGCCGAACCTAAATCAAAAAATGGTCGGCAAGACTATTGACCGTTTTGGCATTGTCATGATTTTGTAAAACAACACTCTAAAAATAAAGCAACTAACCCCCGCTTTCTACAATTAAAAACAACAACAAAAAGTATTTTTGTGTGTGTGACTTAATACCGTTTGACCGTTTTACAAAAACTGTAAAACGACAAAACGGTCAATGGTTCGTTTACGGTTTTCGTTTTTGAGGAAATCCAAAACGGTAAAACAAAATAACGGTATCCCGGGACATACCGTTATTTCGTTTTACCGTTTAGGATTTCTTCAAAAACAAAAACAGTAAACGCACCGTTGACCGTTTTTTCGTTTTACAGTTTTGCAAAACGGTCAAACGGTATAAGGTCACAAAAAACAATGACCTTTTTGTTGTTTTTCTTAATTGTTGAAAGCGATTCCTACTATTGACCGTTTTTCATTGTCATGATCTTGTAAAACAACACTCTGAAATGAAGCAACTAACCGTTTATCGCTTTCCCGGGATTCCTGTGGTAGTTGGTAGTTCATTCAGGCGCGGTTCAAGAGCCAATATTTTGTGGGGGCTAACAGGGTGGATCCAGAATTTTTTTTCAGGGAGGCGTGCTGAAATGTAGACTGGTTATTTTCTCCAGATACTTAGGCCTCCGAAAATCAATAGGTGTGTCTGTGAAGGGGGGGGGGGGGGGGGAGTCATGCCATGTTTTCAATGGGGAGCACCAATAAAATCCTAAAATCATTCACACTATATAACTACAAATGCTCCCTTGTCACGACTATTTCTTTAGGGGGAGACCGTTCGCATGTACATCACAATCCTTCTTTTTGCTAATGCAATTTCTTTTTACGGAATTTATTTGGGGGGGCTAGACAAAATTTGGGGGGGCTAAAGCCCCCCCCCCTAGACCCCCCCCCCGAAAATCAATAGGTGTGTCTGTGAAGGGGGGGGGGGGGTTCATGCCATATTTTCAATGGGGAGCACCAATAAAATCCTAAAATCATTCACACTATATAACTACAAATGCACCCTTGTCACGACTATTTCTTTAGGGGGAGACCGTTCGCATGTACATCACAATCCTTCTTTTTGCTAATGCAATTTCTTTTTACGGAATTTATTTTGGGGGGCTAAAGCCCCCCCCCCCCCCGACCCCCCCCCCCCCCGAAAATCAATAGGTGTGTCTGTGAAGGGGGGGAGGGGGTCATGCCATATTTTCAATGGGGAGCACCAATAAAATCCTAAAATCATTCACACTATATCATTTACTGGTCTGCACCCATAGCCTTCACTTTTTTCATACTACATGGGGCGAAGTGGGGATGGGGCGAAGTGGGGATGGGGCGAAGTGGAGATGGGGCGAAGCGGGGATGGCCCGCCTGGGGCGAAGCGGGGATGGGGCAAAGCGGGGATGGGGAGAAGTGGTAAGGGGCGAAGTGACATGGGGCGACTTGGAAATGGGGCAACTTGGAAATGGGGCGAAGCGTACGACACCCTGTGATGAACGCTTTCGAAAAGTCGCTATAATGTTCCTACTTAAAGAAACTGGAATTAGCGTAGGCCTATTCACAACTGGTTTGTCATTAAGTTGAAGGTTCTTGTGTTCTATTTAATTGTATTTATTTGAGGTGTTTTTTTGTCTTTTTTGGTCCTTTTTGTATGAACTCGCTGTCGGCTTGCAGATACAAAAATTAAGAAGAACAAAAATGCCCCCCCCCCCCAATTAAAAAAACAAACTTTTCCTCGGTCCGGCCCTTATACGATTTAATTATCAAACGCGGAGAAAACATGAGAATACCGAAGGTTTTACGGATTTTTGAATTGCAAAATTTTCATAAAAGGCCTATATAGCAAGCTGGAATGGCTTGTTTTGAAATAATATGTTTTGACCTTGGGCATTAAAGCAAAAACATGCTATGCGCTGTGATGGCCGGGCGGAGAGCTCTCTCTCTCTCTCTAGCGTGGGAGACATTAAATTTCTGAAAACCAGTAGGAGCCTACATATAGCGCAATATGAGACGGGAACCCACCCCCACCCCCTCCCCTCCTCCTTTGTGTTGGTCATTGTGCTGAGAATCTCTGGAATTCTATTGAGATATATCTAGGGGGTGCCCCATCGCGCTGGCTGCAATACCGATGGTTGCGAAATTCTACGGGAATTCCCCACACTGTGGCCCACAGCTGATAACCGGCTGCAGCAGCTTGCCGTCGGGTGCCGGGCCACGCTTTAATCATCATTGTGACTCCGTATTCAGGAGATGGGAATCAGACCTTAAATTCCACTCAATCGATCAAGTTGCAAAGCAATCAGAGAGAAAACTCACCGGAAAATTGCAGTTTTGAAAGTAAGTGAACACTGTAGTAATTAATATGTCGATTGGGAAAGAATATAGGGAAAAATGTTGCAACCACTGAACCAGACGCCACTTTTTTCTTCATATTATCTCAGTGAAGGTCACTCATTGCAAAAATGATGAATGTATTTTTGTACGTTACATGGTCATGATGGTTATGGATATGTAAGGTACTGGTCAATGCCATTCAACTTTCGAGTCACAGTGTTTTATTATGATAGTGGATATTTTGCCGGAGGTAATGACGGCAAACTAACGTTTACTAAAGGTTTGCCGGCTGCAATCCATATCAACAGAGGGCGCTGTACTCTTTAAGATAGGGCTGAATTATAAGATGTATTAAATTCCCACTAAAAGTTGTGTAGCACGTTTGGTGTAGTGGTTAAGCAAACCTCTAGTATGCGGGATGACTCGGGTTCGATTCCGACCGCAGCACATTTTTAATTTTTTTTTTCTCATCCCCAAATAAATACGAATATTCTTCTTTTATTATTTTAACATGTCTCAAACATTTTTTTGCAGAGTATTACATTTTCTTTTTCAGATTTGTGGCTCTGGAGGATTTTTTTTAAAAGGGAAAGAAAGTCCGAAATTATAAAATGGTCTGAATCCCATCTTGTGAATACGAGGTTACAACGATAATTTTGGCATGGAGCCAGACTAAAATTTGTCACCGGAAAATGTTGAAGTACAAAAAAACAGTAACTGCGCATGTTCAGTGCATATCTGGCAAACTAACGTTTACTAAAGGTTTGCCGTCTCCGGCAAAATATACACTGCCTTTTATTATACTATTGTCAATCCTGGCCACCTTGGATTGGATTGTTTCTGGTTAGTTTTGTTTACTTTTGTGGATTGCTTGTTGTATCATGTTATTTGGCCGAATAAATAATAATAATAATAATAATCTGGGACTGAGAAACATCTCCAATTTTGTTAGACACGTTAGACTTAGTCTATTCCCATCAACCTAAGTAAGTAAGAGGAACTTGGACTCTGCAGATCGCTTTTTAGCATTTGGATGTGGTCGGGCGATCTACGTAGAGTCCTAGTTACTACGTTACTCGTTAGACTTAAAAAATATTCTTGACTCTCCTTAACCCTTAAAGGGCCGGGGGGGGGGGGGGGGGGGCGAAATCCCCCCCCCCCTCTCAACATTTTCTGTGATAGCCTCTAAAAACAAATTTTTCGCGACCCGAGCTGTTATGACTTTTTAGCCTCGAGCTTTGCGCATCTTTTGATACCAAAAACATAAAAATCGGACGACGGGTTGCCGCGTAGCGAAAAATTGTTCGGCTCTATGCGCCATGAAAACTGATTTTTGCATATACGTCGTGTAGGCCTACATAGAATTGCCATTCGTACATATGAATAATTAATTAGCCATAATTCCAAAACCCTTTGACCTATAGTCATGAGATTTCTTGGGAATGTTAAGGAAGAGTTGCTCTAGGCATGTGCTGAGTTTCAAAATTGTTCGTCACTCGATGGCCGAGATCGTAGGGGGGGGGAAGGCGGAATCCCCCCCCCCCCCCCCCCTGGCTGAGAGATAGTCAAAATAACCCGGCCCCTTTAGGGTTAAGAGTAATCCTTACTTTTAGGACACCTCTATTGTTTACGAGTTCTGTTCAAAACTGACTTTTGCAGGTGTCTGTCCAGTAGTACCAAAGTGACTGGTACCAATGTTAACAATGTAATTTGAGTGACCGAAATCCCCACCCTGGGGCATGAAAAACGTGACCAAATCCCGACATCAGAGCCGGGGGGGGGGGGGGGGGGAGCCATTTGATAGGCGCATTACCGTATGATCAAAGTGAAAAACAAACAATTGTGCAAAAAACAAACTGCCTGAGGCTGCAGAAGATGAGAAGTCATTTGTTATTTGACAATCATATGCAAAATAGTCAATGAAATAAATAAAATAGAGGTGACCTAAACTTCAGCACAGTTTTACCAGTGTGATAGCACTAAGGCCAAAAAAACAAAATTCTGCTTCCGATTACATGGCATTCAAAAATAGGGTAGGTAGGTACAGATTTTTTTTGGGGGGCAATTTTTTTTTGTGTACGATCCTTTTTTTGTCCAAGTGTAGTCACCATATAAATTGCATTGTCATTATTGTATCATTTGTTGGCAGAATGAATAATTATATTAACGGGATCCAGAAAGATGCATCATTCTTCTACAGTGTTGCACTACTACTTTTTTGGGTCCAATACATGTAGTCCGAACAGTTGGGACTCCAATACTGTGTATGATACTTGATTATTAGGTCTATTGCATGAGATCAATCAATGCAAAATGAGTAAACTGTTACAAAGCAGAGAAAATACATATGGGAATCATCAAAGCACTGTGTGTTTTTTTTACATTTTTTTCTACAGGTTAACAAGCTGAACAGGAGGTGTAGACTCATAGCATGTGTGTGGTGACTTCAAAATGGGCAAAAAAACAGCTCTTCTCGTGGTGCTTACCAGTGTGGTGGTGGTGGGATTATTCACAACATCCCAGGCATTCATAGCTAGTAACATTCATATGTGTCCACATTCCTTAGGTAAGAACTATTGGAAAATCGTTCATCTTACTTTGTTCTTGATAGCCTTAGTCAAGGTGTTCGGTGGTTACTGATGATGTATGGTCGGCCACTTACATACACAGCAGTCCCGCGTACATGTTCATGTACATAGAATGTAGGCTACCACATAGAAACGACATTTACTATTGCGCCTGTGATCAAAATCCTACGCGTATTACGCTAGCGCGTTGTGTCGCACCAGAGAGCGGTCTCACTGCGCGCTTTACTTGGAATATTTTGGTCCCGTATGCATGCGGGAAACAAAACCTTAGTGGTGCACAAGTGCATTGGCGCTGGCCTGAACATTTGTGATATATACGTATGAAGTATGCGCGTAAATCGAACCACATGATAATCCGCGCATCGCGCCAGGCCGCGTGACGCAGCCCGTTTTGCTCTCAGAAGTTACAATGTAAAAGTAGTTACTGCTGTGTCTAGGTTTTATATATGTTTTTGGGCTACCATATGACGCATGAACAGCGACCTCTCATGGCTCAGCTTCGGCCGTGAGCGTCAGGCGTCGTCGGAGTGCGAAATTTTATGTTCGAATTTAACTTGCGATGTAAAAAAAAAGTATCCGAAAATGATAGGCCAATGCTTTTGGTTAAATCAACTTGAGGTACATTGTATTCATTCAGCACCACCCAATTTGCGTATTGTAGCCCAGACATGTGAGGTCGCTGTTTTCACTTCAAACAGTACATAAACATGTTAGTGCAGAGCTTAATGCGGCTGCTGTGTACGTTAGCAGCTGACCATCAGCGAAGCCGTCAACAGACGGTGAGCCGTCTTCCCCCCTCATATCACGCGAGGCAAGCCTTACATTAGCCAATCTGCTGCCTCGTATTTTGTATAATTTAACAAGCTCTCCATTAATTTTGTGTACATGCATGACATGGGTTGCTTGATAAACCTGATCTGTGGCCAATGGAGGTAGTTTTATCATTTGAGTTTTCCAAGTTAGAATATTGAAACACTGACTTATTTGAATACATGCACAGCTCTAGATACAATAACTGAATACTACAGTTGTTTTGATTTGTTGTGTTTTGCTAACAGCCAACGATACCCAGGATGCCTTCGGCTTGTCCAACAGGAGTGCCTATGTTCAGCTTGGACAAACCCACCGAATCCCATGTCTCCCTTACTCTCAACGGGAAGGTGAATCTCCATTCATTGTCTGGTACAAATTAAATGAAAGCACTAACATCGGAGAAAAGGGAAAAGAGAGGCTAGTAAGCTACAACCGAAAAGAAATTCCAGGCAAACATGGCCCAAGATATTCCCTCGCATATGATTTCGGCCTCCTCATTAAAGATGTTGAGGAGAGTGATGGTGGCAAATACATGTGTGAAGTCATCTGGCGTGACACGGAGTACATCAAACAAGAAGAGACAATCAACATTCAAGTTATTGGTAAGATCTCTACCAAGATTATGTTACATGTACATGAACAAGGGTTTTCTATACAGTGTGTTTCAACAAAAATGCAAACAAAATATAATGGAATGCCAGACATAGAATGGGTAACCAACATAGATAATACAGGTACGGTTTGAAAGATACGCCTTTCCACTTTAAAAAAATGAAACATCAAACGTCCAAATCCGATAATGTTTGACAGAGTTAGGAGTAATTTTCTAAGAGAGGTCAAATTGACCATGGGACCAAGTTTTCCATTTTGGGCATTGGTACAAAGAAGGTTTTAGCGAGTGAACATAATTCTATTAACACTTTCTTGCTATCAGTTTGTAAACAGGTTGGCTAAACATTTTTAGCATAGGGTGATAGCAAGGAAGTGTTTAGAATTGTGCTTACTTGCTAAAAAAATTGTGTAGGCTAGTCAAATATCCACACATACATGTAGGCAATTCAGCTGCCTTTGCCGGGACTATGCCTAAAATTGAAAACTTGGTCCCATGGTCAATTTGAACTCTCTCGGAAAATAAGTCATAACTCTGTCAAAAATTATCGAATTTGGACGTTTGATGTCTCATTTCAAAGTGGAAAGGCATATCTTTCAAACCATACCTATAAACTATTTTGTATGTTGGTTACACATTCTTCGTCTGACATTCAGTTGTATTTGTTGGCATTTTTTTTTGTTACACACTGTACATCATTTGACATGAAAGATAGGCATTGGGCACTAAGTTGAAGAAACATGAGCCTTATTAGATATTCTGAGTGATTAAATGCCCCCAGAGAGTTTTCAAAGGAAAATTGTTTCATAATGTTTGCCTATCTGATGAGACCATCATCAATTTTGTGTGACCAGAAACAAGTGTTGGAAACCGCGTAAATTTTTTCCCCGAAATACTGTTTATTAAATCTTTTATTTGATGGAGGGTATTGGAAGATGTAGGAAATTTCCCAAAGGGGTTGTGGGAATTAGGATTAAAAGTGTTTATTGAAGTCACAAAACTGGATTTGTTTCATAACTGCAGGACACACTTTTCCACATGGAAGTGAGGCAGTCGGTGAGGAATCGCCCCCTTCTCGTCTGGAGCAGGGGCGGAGACACACTCTACAGTGTGGGTGTGCATCACAGACACCAGACACATGGGACTCTGTAGTGTATTGGTCAATGGGAGAAGGCATCACTACAGATACACAGATCATTGGTGCGCGTTTCTCCGATGGTACTACCCTGCAGATTCAACATGGCGCCGATTACAGCATTGGTAGCGACACTTCACTTACAATCAACTCCCTGAATGACCTACAAGATACACAGAGATTCTGGTGTCATGTGTTCCAGTCAAATGGCACACTCCGTAGATGTTCCACTGACGTTCAGATCTTACAAGGTAAATGTGACAACTATTTAAAGTACTTTTTTCAAGTCACCCATTCCATGCTTCATTGTATATCCTGGAAATTGTATCCTTTTATTCACACCTGTCTGTCATTTGAATTTCTAGTACCACCAAAGCCCAAAAGCATTGGAAATATCCAAAACTAATCACAACTCTTGACATAAATAATTTCCATTTTTAGATTTCCTGTGACAAACTTAGGTAAAAAAGCTAAATTTTTTGGAGCAAGTGGAAAATTGTTTTACAGTTGTGTCTTTCCCGCCCCCCTTGAGGCACTGCAAAAATAATAAGCTCTCTGCGATCTTAAAGGTATGTAGACTGAATGGCCCTGTTGAGCAATAGGCCCCTATTTAACTTTCCCTTTGTAAATTAACATTGAAGGGGCATTACGTAGCTTGTCCCTCCCCCCTCCCACTTATCCTTATAAAATCCTCTAAAACCAACCGGCATATTGCGAGGGTAGGTGCTACCACCCGTCACTTTTCAGAATAATTTCTATTGTCTAATGTTGTACTGTCTGACAGACTCTGTATGCCTAAACCCCCTGAATGGTAACAAAGGGAGAGTTGAAGACCACCGGGAGAGACATTTTGACGCTTTGCGGATCATGCCTGAAGCTCACACGAAGATGATATGGTTTTGTGCACATTCGGAAGAAAAACAAAAATTCCTACAATCACGCTATATACGCGCACAAACTAATATGAGTCGATCATCCCGTCCACTGGGTTTCTGAAAAGTGATAAAAATTTGTCCACTTACAAGCTTTAATTTTTTTTTATCTTCAGATCAAAATTCTAGTTTTGTCCCGATCGCATCGTCAAAAGAGTTCTACCTTTCAGAAGGACATCCGCAAGTTCTGCCTTGTAGAAGCTGGACGCCTGGTGACGTGATGTGTGAAGTCCGATGGATTCATGAGCCAAGTCAACGCGTCGTCTTCAGTTACAACTTGTCTACTGACACCGTCGAGGCTGATTCTGACTACGATCTTGCCAGTGACTTTGGTCTACTCATCAAATCAGTGAATCACATCCATGGTGGACGCTACACGTGCAACATTCTCGATGGTTTGGGAAACACGCTCTTGAAAGGAGCTATTGACACATATGTGATTGGTATGTGATTGCATTACACACACATGTATATTCTTGTTGACCTTCCATTGTTTTTGAAAACCATTAATATTTTTTTCACCTAAATTTATATCTCCGTAGGCAAGCCCGTTGTGTCGGATGTGTGTGCACCCCTCCCCTCCCCCCTCCCCCAAAAGAGTGCATTCAATATTTCGGTAGGGTTTTGTTTTGTCAATTTTCATCCGAGTTTATCTCAAGGTGACGTGAGCCGCAGGGTTAAAGTAAAGGTCAAAAGGTCATCATGCTTCAAATTACTCCAATGGATGAAAAATAATGATAAACTTGGATTCGTTTTGATGTTACATGCACATTTCCAAAGCAACCAAGATCGACAAATTTGGCCGACAGGTTATGGAGATACATTTTTTTAAAAAGGCGGCCACACCCATTTTGGGAAAATCACCAAAAATTGTGGGTGGTAGCACAAAAACATCGTCGGTTAAACCAAAGATTTCATCTTTCTGGGTCAAAAAAAGTTAAAGTGCATTCAGTGTGACATCAACCTTGTTTCCATGGGTACGATCTTGCTGCGTGATGTTGGATGTCTGATCTTTTTTTTAACCCCTGGAATTGTGTAATTTAAATGTGTCAAATAAAGCACATTTAAATTATGACTGCAGTCGATGTATCTAACGCACGATGCAATGCTTAACAAATGGAAAGGCTTTTTTTTTTTGGAATCAGTCCTTTCAAACATGATATTTTGAAGTTGCTTTTTTTGGGAAGGATTAATATTAAATGTACGTACTTCTGTCGTACTTTTAATTACAACAAAATATACATGTTTTCTGAGGCTAAAAATGCAGCTTCCATATTAATCGATATTGTACAAGCATCGCGCAGTTGTAAAAAAATTCTCATTATTGACGTACACTTTGTGCCTACTTGGTAATGGGCTTGCGTACGCTGCAATGCGAGTAGTCTGATTCTCAGACATGTCAGACCAACTGATGCTGACATAACATATTGGAGTATTCTGAATCGCTAGCGAATTCAATGCGAGCACTCTGATTGGTTCAGATTCCAGAGTGTATTCTAGGCCGCCACGGAAGATCATTCTCATTACTTCAAGGGTTTGTACATGTACTTTGTGTTGTGTAACATTACAAAATACATTATAGGGCATACATGACTCAAATAAGTCAAGTATATTACAGTGATACATTTCATTTCTATACACAAAATGACCAAGCTGAGTGTATTGGTCGTTAAAACATCGTCAGATCTGCAAACATGTCCCTGACGTATTGAGAAGAACTCCCCATGTAACGGAATGAATGAGTCCTCATTTGCATAGCGGTGCGCGATTAGATCTCACCCCTCGCAAAGATGCACTGCGTACAATGTATTTATCGTACTGCATTATATGAATGACGGTGCGAGAACTTAATCATCAAGTCGTAGGATTTTTGCAACCCATCTTATTACTTTAATACTTAGTCTTATACGTATAAGACTACGTATAAGACTGGTATGCCAGCCACGCCAATGGAGTTCGACTGAAGTTCACGGACAACTTAAATACGACTACATGTATTCAAATATGACTACATGTATCTAACGACTTGTCATCAAGTCTATATGTGACGTGATGTACAATGTACATGTACATGTACATGTATGCGGAAGATAACCTGCGGGCGCATACAGGGCATTCAGTTTTCAAAATACACGCGCAGTACGCTCTGAATAGCCAGTCAGAGTCGTTGGCGTATTCTTCACAGCCAGGAGTTAGTGAAGGAACGCGCACACGCCCATGGAGTCGAGGCTGGTGTGACACTTGATTTATTGATGTCACAAATATGAACACACTTAAACATGTAAACTGCTTTCTATCAGTTTTGTTGGCTATTTCTCTGTTTGCTTCCACTCACTTAAAAGAAATTGTTTTGTGGGATATTTTATGATGAAACAAAGCCTTGGCTGCGAAAATCAATTTCCTGTAGTGTAGATCATGTGGATGTAGATACATGTATGTTGGATTAACAGACAGATTTTGTTTGTTTTCATTTGTTTGACAGAGGCTGGAGAGTCCAAAGGAAGCAGTCAGGGCACTGCTAATTTGAGGTTACTTGCACTTGTCGTCATACTGGTACCAGCTTTTGCAGTCGTGCTGTTGTGTCTGCGGTACAGAAAAAAACGGTCATCCACCAGCTCTTGTCAAATGGGTATGTCGTATTTCATCCTATTTCTGATTGGTCAAACCCTTCCTTTGTCCTTCAGGCTCTCTGTTTGCCCTCCCGACATATCTCAGTTTTTAATTCTTCAGTGTCGGTGAATTTTAGAAAACATTTGTCGCGGCAAGCCCATTCAATAGACCTATCCAGTAAGCTCCTCCCACTATTCCTACAAACGGGGTGTGAATAGATTGTGGGATCAATGAGACATTTGTCATTTGTTATGTGTCCAACATACCGGTGTGCATTAGCAGCATTAATTGTCTGTGTTTTGTATTTTCATTGAGTCAGCTCTACATGTCATCTGAGTATTTTGTGAAGCCATTAGTTTCAGTGTTACCATTCAGTCCTCGCGAGCTGCTTATTTGAACTGCTATTGTCTCTGTGCAGTAAGCATAAGGGATCTCATTAAATCTCCCAATTTACAGACAACTGCATGCTGTATTTTGAACGCTTCCGAAATGTACCCTGCAGGATTTGAAGTGATCGGCATGATTGACTATCGGAAAAATTAATTAAATGGGGATGATTCTGCAGAGTTTCTTTATGAGCCCATTATGGATTAAACTTAATAATTTAGTCTTACCTTTTCTTTCAGGAGAGTGGCCGAAGACTGATAAACGGACCTACACACCTCCCGAACGGTGCGATAATACACCACAAGGTCGCCTCAGACTAAATGAAAAGCAGTACCGGGATTTCTTCATTGACAGCAGCAATGAGAAGGGCCATGTTCTTTTGGATGGGAAATCAGGGAGCGGTAAGACTACTTTCCTGTATAAGCTTCGGCATGACTTGCAAAACTTGAAAGCAAGATATTTTCTGTTTCGGCCAAGAACCGTAGTTCTCACCAAAGCTCTGCACATAAAATATAAAACTTCATATTTCTTATTTCCTGAACCTTTCCGACGCGGTAATTCTTGTGGATGACTGTAATGGTGTAAAGGACATAGAGGAAGTTTTGGAAGCCACCAAAGATCTGTCTAGATGTCAGTTAGTGATGACCACTAGAAGTGAAAAGCTTGCACGAGTTATGAGCAAAAAATATGGTTTGCGTCATGTCACAATTACCGGCTTCTCTGAGAATAATGCACGAGAGTATGTCAAGTCAAAATTGGAAGCTGATTGCAAGTATGTCAAATTTGATAGCATGTCCATGTACAATTACCAGCCAGAAACCAAACATGTCGATTATTTAGATTTACACATTTTATTTGAAAGTGTGGCTTGTCTGCCTGGTTTCCTCAAGAGGCTCTGTGAGTTTCGTGGTCTGGAACTTCACAATTCTGTCAGTGATGTGGTTACCGGCATTGTGAAAGGCATGTTTTGCAAACTAGGCCCCCAAAGTAGCTTGGCCGATCGTGGTAATGCAGAGAGGCTTACAGAGAAACAAAATGATTTCTTGATTAAGTGCGTCGAAATAGCTCTACCTGATATGTTTGGACATCCTGATAATGTAGGAGAGGTGTCTTGTGGAGATGCAAACATTGTTTTAAGAAACGGAATTAAAATGGGGCTGCTCTGTGATGAAAAAGAGTCCAACCTAGATAGTTCGAATAAGAGAGAATCTATTCTACAAGGGTCAAACATGGAGGAAGTGAGTTCTAGAGGTTCAGTGCATTATTCACATCACCAAGATTTTGTCACATTGAATATGCTGGAGGAAGAGTCCATTCAACATGACTCCAGCATTCAGAATTCAATCAGAGAAGGGTCCGGTCCGCAAGCGTCCAACATTGAGATTACACCCGGTCCACAAGCGTCCAACATTGAAAATTCAAATGGAGAGGAGTCCATTCTGCAAACATCCAGCACTGAGAATTCAACCGGAGAAGTGTCCCGTCCACAAACGTCCAACATTGAAAATTCACCTGGCGTAAGTTCCGATCCAGAGATGTTCAATAATGAGATTGGAGAAGGTTCTGGTCCACAAGTGTCCAACATTGAGAATTTGACCAGAGAAGGATCTGGTCCACAAGCGTCCAGTATTGACTCAAATGAGTCATGTCCTCTGCTTTCTGGCCATGCCGGTGATGCTTCTCAGGTCAAATTTGCCCTTGAAATAACTCGGGACTTCTGTGCTGGTAAGAAAATAGCTCAAGATGCTCAAAAGTGGATAAAAAAGATCGACATCGGTAATATTAATAAGCTCGCAAACGCATTGGTCTTTGCCAGTGCTGAGAATTTTAATGCTGCCTTTGCAATTGTAAATCGTTTAATTACAGTCAGTAAAAATAATCACAAACCAATAAGTACCTGCACTCTTAACGATGAGATTAAGCTGCAAAAGGTGATGGAGGTATGTCTTGAAGCCATATTCAATGGACGATGGGAGGAGGACTTCAACAGCGAAATGAAGTTGCTCTTTCATGAAGGACAGCTGCGGTTTATTGGGATATATAGTCACATGCTCAGACTGATGGCATACTGTTTGAAATACATGCAGTGTTCAGAGAACAATTCCACATGCATCCTGAATTCTGTTGTATTGTTCTGTATTGATCAGCATCTGAGCTCGGATGAGTTCACACAATACGTAGGGTACTTGTGTCCTGGCCAAAAGGACCAAAGTGTGCTGCATGACCTGCAACAGGAGCTCACTGACACACACTCTAGTAAGTGCCACTCGTCAATTTCTGGGACAGAGTTTGTTCGTTACCTTTCTGAACATAAACATCTTGAAAAGATTGTTCTCTTGGGACCAGTTCTTGACAACCAACAAACTCGTGACTTCATCCACAGCCTTTGCAAGCTGAAACAGTTGAAGCATTTGGATCTTCGGCTTAATACCCAGATGGCTGACAGAGGTTTCAAAAAAACAATGAAAAGGCTTTCTGATTGTGAAGCCCTGACTGATCTCAGGCTGTCTCTCTACAAAGTGACCAGTAAGGGGTTTACACATGTCAAGAATAACATGGAGAAGGTTGCACCCATGCTGAAGAGATTGCAAACACTGTATCTGCTGCATGGCTCTCTAACTGAGGATTTCGATGGGTTCCTCACAGACCTCATTGGGTACATGGACAATCTTCAGTGTTTTCATGTATCAGCATTGGTTGCATCTGATGAAGAACAAGGAATACCAAACAGTGTTGTTGAAATGATCAAACTGAAAAAGCCAACACTTCAGGAACTGTTTGTGGACAACAAGGATGCATTAGAGGCACAACTTGAAGAGGCGTAGTCTGAAGAAGGGGCTACCACATCAACTTCATCCTCATCAGACCAAAGCTGTAGTGAAAGTATCGGTACGCACAATTTCCTGAATGTGCCAAAGCTCAAGCGAGGTATACATGTATGTTCAAATTTCTCTTGTGATGGTCTTCCGGACTAATCCCTGCCCCACATAGTGGATACATTCAAAATTAGCAATGGATGGACAAGGAACAAGTGAAGTAGGTCTCCCCAACTCTCCTTTTCTGGCCATATAAGGAGCACTTGTGCACGAAGCCCATGAAGTGTGTAAGTGCTTTTAGTCATGTTTGTTTTGGAATCAGCAGGTAGCCATCAATACTGAGTCAACTGGCCGTCCTCCACTACTTCTTTTGGCAAACAGTCAATTCGAAGAAAGGATTCTCAAGTATTCAAACCAATTCCTGTCAAGTAGGCTCATTTTTGTTCCCTCTGTTGTTAATTTCATTAGCTCATGTGTCAAGGAAAAAAGGCGTTCACTGGTGATGTGTTGCCCTCTTGATTATACACCAGTTGTCAACTGTTTTGTCTCCATTCTGTCTTAATCTAATGTGATGGGCCGGACGTTGGCATCAACAGGTGCTTTAATTGTATCCACTCGTGAGAGCTCCATTCTCGGGACACATTGCATGCACACACTGGACCCCTTACGGTCATCTGAATGTGAATGACCTTGCATGTGTAAATATCAACCTCGTTCACATAGATCATAATCCTGCTGCGCTATATGTAGTTTTCCCAACATCATGTCTTGCGAATTTGTGAAGGAAACCACAAGCATCCCACAGACACAGTGGTGTAACTGTGTTCTGGGTAATCACAAAAATGGCCAGCCGTGGAAAGGGGGGGGGGGGACATCACATGACACTAGCTGTCATGGCTGTTCAGGATACAGATGTACTTTATATACTTGTGCCCCTTAACTTTACATTAAAACGGCGCATTTAAAGTTTTGGTACTTGCTCTCTGTTTTCAGTACTTTTGAACACATTTTGGTTTTTGGGAAGTACGAAAAATACCTCAAAGTCTGCATTGTTTTGTTTCTCACCATGAAAAAGTGTGTGGGGGTGATCCAATGCCCCCCCCCCCCTCCCACGTCATAAATATGGGGGTTATATAAAATGTCCATCCCAGGATGTACTCCCCAGCATCTATATAGACACGATAAACTTGAGGATGGTAATGTCTTGGGAACACTTCAAGGGTTACCTCCCTGCAACTGTTGAAATGGTTGAAGAGGATAGAATATTTTTGCAAAGAGGCTGGTTTAATCCCCCCTACCCCCTCCAGGCCATAACTCTCCCTCGTACCGAGAAAAACCTTCTTGCTTCGCTACTGTAAACAGGTTTTTTGTTTGTGGAACTTTTTTGTGGGTTTTGATACAAATCAATGTACACTCAAATATTGCTGCAACATCCTAAAAACTAAACTGTTAAATATGCTTGCAAAGCCCACTTTGCAACTGCTGCAACACTGCAAATGCTGCAAATGTCGTATTATCTTGTCTTTATTAGAATATTCAATGATTTGTCCCTACGTGTAAGTGGTTTGTTGTAAGCACGGAATGAAGGTCAACCAAGAAAACATTTCCAAAGATGTGATGGTCCGTCAAGCTTAAGTTAAAACTTGTTTTCTGTGTTATTGATCTTCCTTTGACATTGGTTTACATGTATCTTTCGTCTGTGTTGTCTCTCTTAAGTGATACTGAGCTCTTGTGGTTTTGCATTACATGTATGCTGATGTCATAACTCCATGTACTGTACGTGGGATTCCGCGG